CTTGGCCAATACTTCTTCCTCCTTGTCTTGGGTGCCTTCAATGTTGTCATGCACGTCCGTTCCAGGATTCTCTGCAGCTGAGTTAGGTGATTCCTTCTTTTCACCTTGACTATGAACAAAAGAATCCTTCTTATGATTCTCAAAGATCTTCCCACCAAAGAGCTTGTGTCTTCTTGGCACATAGAGAGATAACTGGTTTCTGAATTGGTCTCCTTGGCCTTATGTTCGAGTTTACTTAGGCAAAATTCAATTTCTTGAAGCTCACCATCGGTTTTCCCTCTATTCCATGAGGAGATTTCGCCAGCTTCTTCTGTCTCTTGTTTGACATCCTTGACATCTATTGAGTTTTGAATGATATCATACTTTTGCTTTATTTGCTCTTCCTCATGAGCTTCCATAGTCTCCTTAAGGGCTGCGATATCTTTTCTAGATCTCCTCTTCCAATAATCTCACATGATTGGAGCGATCGTCAATCTTCCTATACAAGGTGGCTGCAGTGACAACTTGAAAATCAAGGTACTGGTTCAGCCTAGCTTCTAATCGATTAAGCTGGAGACTAAATCGAGTATTCTCATAGTTCTGGTGCAGAATTTGATGAGGCAGGGGGTGAGATGGTCGACGGTTCACCAAGGGAGGTGAATAGGGTTCATCTCAGTAACCAAGAGGCTCGCGGCTTCCGTGGTGGTGGTTTGGTTGAGGGATCTGATCCATGTGTCTAGAATCACGCCTGAATGGTGATTCACATTAACAGGGAGCAGCACACAGGTTTTAAAAACTTTGCTCGGGATTAAGGTTTCTCCTTTGTGGGTAATCCATGTCTTAAAAGTCTAAACTAGGGCAAACAGAAAAGAGAGAGTAAAAAGAAAAAGAAAGATAGGGTGTTTAGAATTCAGTATTACTTCCTATGAAGTTTGGCAGAAACTCGACATATATAGCCTCTCCGGCAACAGCGCCAAAAACATGATGCATGCTAGGGTTACCAGGTTGCAAATAAGTTTTAAATTTATAAAACCCTAGTATCCTGCTAGTGCACAGTCATGCAGTGTAGTACTTGTGGTGTCGATCTACAGGGAGGATGTCTAATCTGCAAAATTTCAAACTAGGATAAGTAAGCGAAATAAGAAACTCAAGGGGGTTTTTTGTTGGTTTTGGTTTTTACGGGAAGATAAAAGAGAAAATAAAACTAGACCTAATTCTAAACTAAATCGATAAAGGACCATTTAATTAGGGCAACTTGCTAAGAGTCTTCTGGGACTAGTGAATCAGGGCAACTTGCTCTTCAAGTATCTTTTAGTTGCACCGTTAGATTGTCCTGATGTAAGTTGCTATGGAAATTCAGTTGGATCCTCTTGAATGTCTCCAAATTTGAGCTGCATCAGATGGTGAGAAGATCTTCATTTGAGACTGAACTTCCGATGGTTTGACTCTCAGCTAAAAATGTGGATTTCCTCCAGTTTGTCATGTTTTTCCGTAAGTTTCCTGAAAAGAGTCTTGAAACTACAAACATAGAAAATTTTTACTAAAAACTCCTAAAACTAATTAAAACCTTTGAAAAAGTATTTGAAATCAATAGTGAAAATGAGTACAAATACGGTGTTATCAATGGGACTCTAAACATGGTATAAAATGCATGCTACATATGCAAAGATATGAATATATCAAGAGTTCAAAAATTGGAAAGAAAAAAGAAGGCAAAAAAAAATCGAAGAGAGAAAAATCGAATGCCTCGTCATTAATTATCTCACCATCAAATTATAATATTCTTTGAATTGAAATAGTTTAGGTTACCCTATTTAAACTACTGCAAGAACACAATAAATAAAGTTGTATAAAAAGGTTGGAAGTCACTATGAGAATGCAAGAAAAAGTAAAACTAAGACTAATGAGCGTTTTGTGGTTTCAGTGCAAAGAAATAACAAGCTAAATAAAAACAAATTAAACATATGAACTAAAGGCATCAGGATTCAGGGAATTATTAAAAACCATGAGTTGCAAAACAGAAAATTTGGCAAGAAAAGCATTAAGCATTGTTCTTGAACTCAAATCATGAGACTAAATCAACCTCTTCCCAGGGTATTAAATCCCTATGTACTAGATCTATTGATGCTGCTAGGATTAGGGGGTCGCAGATGAAGTCTAAAATTTTTAAAACCCTAGTTTTCTGCAAGTTTACAGCTGTGTGAAGTAGTACTTAGGGTATAGATCCACAAGGAAGTTGTCTATTCTGCAAAAATTTCAAACTGAGATTAGTAAATGGATTAATAGACTGAGACTTTTTATAGGTTTATTTGGTGTCACAGAAAATTAAAAGTAAAATAAAAATTAGAAAACCTTCATAAACCTAATCGATATGAGTTTAAAATTAAAAGAAAAGTTGGGCTGGCAAAGAATATCTCAATGGATGCTTGATTCATGCTAGGGTTCTAAACTCATAGGGTGATTAGCCTACTCTTGTATGTCTTAATGGATTTCTAAGTATCTACATGAACTAGAATACACACTGGTGTGGTTAGTCAGATGCCATGACCCTAACCAACTAATCACTCAAACTCGACCAGTAGCTTTCGTCTCTGGCCGTGAGAGAAATCATGCATTAACTAAACTGAATTCATTCTTGCTCAAATATTCTCTGTAGGAGCGTCTCCTACAGAGACTATGTTCTTCTGAAGCTATGTATGACAATCTGATACATCATTGTCGTGGCTCTGATTAAGCCTAGGTTCAAAGATTAGTTCATGACTCTAACCTCATGCGTTAAGTACAGCTTAGAAGAGATGATATCTAGAATATGGCAAAAAAAATAATAACAATTCTAATCGAACATGTTGATCCTCTTTGATGGATCCCTTAAAACCAACTACTAAACTACTCTAACATGATGCAAGTAAAAAAAAAAGCATAGTAGATGAATGCACAAACTGAAATAGATAGATAAAATAAGAGATAACAAGGGTTTAAGGAAAGAATCATCAACTCCCTAATCTAAACCTAAAAAAGAAAAGTTTGGTGGCTCAAAAACTCATTAAGGAGCACACACTCGAAATAGGACTGCTAAGATATGTATTTATAGGTCTTCAAGTCTTGTAGTTCGTCCTTAGGACTTTCTTTGAAGAGAATTTCAAAATGGGCTTGAAGTTAGGACTCAGGGCCGAGATAGGCTGTGCCGCGGGTGAGAGTCTTCCAGGACTGGTGGAGTGGAGTTCTACTGTGGGTGAGACATGTGAGGCGCGGCCACATAGGTGTTTGCTGGGGGTCAGCTGAATGTCAGATTAGTTGATGAGACATTTTGATCTTCATGTATTTTTTGATTGAATAGCATGTTAAATTCAATAACTCATGTTATCATATATGGAAACTAACTCATGTTAAATTCAATAACCTAAACATGCATTATAAACAAGTTTGATAAGTTCACAAAACACAATAATATCAACTCCCATTTGTTAAGGATATTTTTACTCATCTATGTTCTATCAGGCACATGGGCGGAGGTACAGAAGACTCAATGGGGTCGAGTGCCCTTACTGTTTATATTTTTTTCTTAAATAATTTAAATAAGTTCAATCAAAAAATTTCACTTTAGTGGTAAAAAAGAATAAATTGTTCCCAACTAAATTTTTTTTCTTGTTTATAAACCTAGGCCCCCAATTAATTTTTTTTCTAGATCTGCCATTGATTAGGCATTCAATCAAACACTTTAGATGAGTCAAATAACCTAAGGTCATAAACTAAGCTGTGGATCATGTTCCAGCAATAAGCTCAACAATAGATGAGAAACCAACCAATAATTTCCTATCTAATAATCATAAACTAGCAATTCATGAATTCCTTTGAAAACCCTAAAATGTAACTGTGAATATATTCACACATGATTGCAGAGAACAAGAAAATGTATATGAGAGAAAACATAATGAAACTCAGTAGATAAATGAACGGGAATAGAAATATTCTCCAAATTTGTCATCAAAAGAGGTTCAAAGATCTTCTCCCAAAGAAAAAGATACAAATAGTCTGTCAAAAATAAGGCGTAGCCTCAAAAGTGACATTAAATAAATAGAATTAGGTCTTTCGTCGGATTATGTCGAGTTGGGTGATTCCAAAGCAAAATTGAAAATCTGAAATTGCCTTCTTTCGTCAGGGAAGTGAATCGATCGATCCCAGAGTGGATCGGTCGATCTGGCTTGAACTGGTTGATCCAGAAAATCCAAACGATCTGAAAATGTGTACAGTATCATTGGATTGAGTGACCCCAAAAGTGAATTGGTTGACCTGTGCTTCCTCTCTGCGCGTGCTTGTTCGGCTCGCCAGACTAGATTGTCATCACAAAAAGTAGCATAACTTTTACTCGCAACGTTAGAATGGTCTAAAACCACTTCTAAATGAAAGTTAACCCATAATCGAAAACTAGAGTTACAAAAGGTTTTTCAAACCATAAAAATGATCCTCTTTTTGTTTATATCTTGCATCTACATTTGAGCTTTATCCATCAGTGGGAAGTCCTATAATGAATGCCCAAAATTCTAACATCTCTGCGTAATTTTGCATTTTCATATGCTCATTTGCACCCAACACAACACATTTTCTTTCAAAGTGCCCTAAAACCTGAGAAAATTTAAAAATAACTAAAAGACCCTAAAAAGACACTTTGACTCAATAAAAAATACACAAAAAAACGTTTGAAACCGATAAAAAACCACCGATAAATGATCATCTATTGCAACTTATGGCCTTGAAAGTAGGAATATTTTTTAATTCCTGCTATTGAAAGATTTATTAGGTATAATTTTGAACAAAAATATCAGTTTCTCTAGAATTTGTTAATGTAATATAATTAAATCCAAAAATGTAAAATAATCTCTAGTATGTTTGGCACTCACATCACATCACGTCATTATTTTATGATGTACATAGACTAATAACTTCATTTAATTAAAAGAGACGACCTCTTTTGTATATTGATCGTTTTCCAAGATTTGTTGTCAGGGAAGATGTAGCCTGGTTCAAATATTCAGACATATGCTATAAGGTTAGAAAGTATAAGCTTGAAGAAGTTTAAACATATTCTACGTCAGAAAGCTTACCCTAGTTTTATTGATTTTTCTCTAGGAGGTTGTAGTTGTATGAGTTGAAGTTGCGGTAGTGCATGTGTTTCGTTTTCATTGCTTATACGATCTCCACTTGAATTGCCTTCAATCGCAGTTTTTCTTCCATGAATCTAACATTGCAAGTTTTTAACACAGATTAAAGTTTCTCTGTGACTGTTTTTTTTTTTTTTTGTATTTATATAACTATAGAAAATCATTTGCATCACCTTCTTCTGCAGTTTGATATTTTCTTTACGCATCATAACTACCATACTATTTAGCTCTTGATTCTCTTTTTGGATGATATGTCCCTGTAATAGAATCAAGCATGGTTTGTTTAAAGTTCTAGGGGAAAATAAACATAGGACATCATATCTGTCGTCTTCTTCATCCCAAAAGAACATATCTTGGTTACTTTAATAGTTTAATCTAATTAACAAACCTTAAGATTGAGTTCTCTTATTTGATCAGTCAAAAGTTGGTCCTGCAAAAAGAAAAAAGGTACTGACATGAAATTTGATTTTGGACTACCTTTGGTAATGAGTCAATGATACAATTAATCAAAATTGGACAAGCCTCAAGGGAACCCTAGCTAGCCTGATCAAAATTCTAAAGTATTTCTTAAAAAATCTAAAACATAATGGAAATATATATTGTAATTTTTATCATGATATTATTGTAGAACTAAAATACTTGAGAAATCAAAATATATAACATAATTATATTGTAACATCAATATCTAGATATTAATTATGATAGAAATTCTAAAGATTAGGATAATAATTTGTATGATATTTGTCGTTTTGAAGCATATAAAGAGCTCCATCCTCTGAAATTCGTAGCCAAGTAGAAAAAGTATAAACAAAGCAAGAAAGAAAAGTTCTATATATTTATAAGTTTTCTCTAAGTGTCTTTCAAAATTTTCCAAGTGTTTTTCATAATATTTTTGTATTTAGAGAATCTAGTCTCTGAGTTTCTTTTTTATGGTATTAGGTTATACAAAATAAAAACCTTTCCAAGTAATATGGCAATGAAGGACGAGCACCTGATCTTTGTCCATAATGTATCCTTTAAGAAATAGATGCATACGTACCTTTTTCAGATGGACACCTTTTAGACTTGTTTCTAGCTGGTCTTCAAGGTTCTGTAGATCATTAACATTCATTCCAGAAAGTTCTTCTCCAATTAGTTTCCTGCATTGTATCATAAATTAACATTATTAGGCTTTTTGGAATTAATATAGGTTTGAATTAACATTTTACCAGTAATATAGGTTCGAATTGGTATCGCCGCTGGTGGAATTGCATTTTCTAATGTGATTTTGCAAATATTATCTGCAGAAAACTAAACAAAACATATAAATTTAGGATTTGTGTTTTCTTTTTTTCAACCATATATGATTACATTTTGACTTTTTAAAAAATCTATTAAACAAATAAGTTGGTATTGAATAACTCATTCCATGAAAAATGGTTGAACAATTTTTTACTCATGCAAGAAATCAACTATTGAAGACAAAAGTTAGTTTACAATTAAAACGGATGTCATTTCTTTCGAATAATATTTCTTCTCATTAAGTAACTCTAATTTTTTCAAATTCTAATTTGTTCTGGCTTTGGCATTTTTAAACATTGTCTTTTTTCCATTTGACAAAAAATAAAACGTGCTCTTTCTTGTAACAATTGCCGTTTAATAATTTATACTTTTGAGAAAAATGTAGCAGGATTTGTTGACATAATTTTGTTTTTGTTATTTATGAATGTGAATATAGAGTGAGAATATTTGTGCTAATTACAAGCTTAACGAGAAGATATTTTTCTTGCTAAAAAATGAAAACAAGGAAGAACCTATTTAAAGAAATCGAACCGATCGAATTGGTCGAATTCCAAATTACCCGTAATTTGCCTTATTGCTTTGGGTTGACATAACAATTGTATATAATACTCAGTTTATGTTTTTTTTTTCTTTTGTAGGACCGGATCGGAGTCCTTACCTGTGGCATTCTTGTAGATAATTGAGCTGTTGCTGCAAACTTGCAACCTCTCTTTGCCAAAACTGGTAACACAAAGAAAAAATTATGATTTTGATATAGATGAGTTTATTAAAGAGGCTCATAACAAATTATATGATATAATTTTTCCAATCAAATATTACATTTAAAGGAAACTCCTTATTTAAGTGGTTACCAAATTTGGAGAACCATAGTTTATAAACGAGAAATTTGAAAAACGATTTCTAATCTATACTATTATTTATGAGGTCAATAATCTGATATATCGTCTCCACAACAAAAGTCTACAACGAAAGTTTTATGTTTTATGTGGTATTACAAAAAATTACATGTCATTTTTAATCGTTTTAATAGATTTATCATTCGTGTCTACATCGATAACATATATTTTTTTAAAAAAATTGGGCAATGGGCCAGCGAAAATAAAACTTGGTAAACCATAAACCATTTGTATTAAACGACTAATAATTAGCCTTAGAGATCGGTTGGTTTAGTAAAAGAAAACAAAATCCTAAGGTAGTTTTCCACTTATAAATATAACTTTACTCCACTGTATTTAAGTTCTTATCGTCTAAAGTTCTCATCATCTAAAGTTCTCATCGTCTATAAGCTTATTAATCTTTGGTAACTCCCATCGTCTGTGTAGCTTTTTTTTATTTTCTTTAGTTCTCTTTTAGCTAGGCTTTTGTATGTGTTGTTGTCAAAATTAGGTGTTGCTTTCACGAAGTATAACTTCCTCGTGTATCACGTTTACGTGTTTAGGTCATCAAAATTTGGTCACTTTTTACTCGTAGCTTATTGATCAAAGATTTTTGTTTTTGTAGATTGATCTAAGTTTTGATTTTTGTTTTCTTTTTATATGTTGCTTTATCTCTTTCCCGACGTTTGTTTGGTTTAAAAATTGGTGTTATTTTCTCAAAGTGTAACTTACGTGTGTATGATCACGTTTACATGTTTGCGTCTTCTATGACTTTTTACTACTGCTTCTATGCGTTTGCTTTTATATCTTTGTTTACGTGTTTGGTATGACTTCCGTGTGTATATATTAAGTTCTTATATATAATGCAATGGTTACTTCCAACATTTAAATGGAGCCACACGGTAATTTTGTCTATATAATTATTTTTTATAACTTGCTTAACTTGTATTTGTTTAATATTATTTATTTGATGGTCGATTGTAAACTTTCTAATTATTTGTCTTGATGTTTTTCAAAGGTGTTCATGTTTACCCTACCATCTCCCGTCGACTCAAAAAAAAAAAAAGGAACATAATAAGTTTTTGGTTTAGATGGAATGCAATCAAGTGTTTCAAGAAGTACATATATTACTTTATTTCGGTTTCTAACTAAATGGGTTTGGCATTCTACATTCTTATAATGGAGACCCCGTATGAGAGGTACCTCAGGAGAATTAATTAAAGCCATGCCCCGAACAATCTGAAGAGCTTTACTACTTGCGTTTGATGCTGCTTCATGTCAGGGGTCCATGTTCTTATTCTAATCTTAGAACTGTCAATGGTATTTGTTCATCCTACTTTCAAGGCTGCATGTTACACAATGGGACTGGTTTCTGATAGATGCATTTTTGGAAGCAAGTAAATGGGGCAGTATTAAAAACCTGATAGGTCAGTAATAAAAAAAATTAGCGTTTTAATTAATTCTGATAGGTCAATCATTAATTACACGTGTAAAGACCTATGACATGGATTTTTCTTTTGATAATGAGCCAACGAGTTTGTTCATGGGTCAATGATTTTGTTCTCGGTCATAGCCACCAATTCTGGTAATGGGAAACCGACGTCGAAACCCTAAACCCTAAAGCATCTATCGTACTATATATACCTGTATCGCCTACGTATTTTTTTACATACAACAACCGTCTTCTAAGGTCTAGCAACTATTACAAAACTTGTCCACCTCTTTTTCACGAATATATCTTTTGTATATCCCAATCGGGTTTAAATTATATTGTTTGTTTAGTTGGTTGTTCTTCCATGCTAACTTCTGAATCTGTTTATTCTGATCAGGATTTTTCTATACTAACCGGTCAAATATCTATAATTTTTCTCTATCGTGTTCTATATTAATGCATCACAGCTATCTTATGTTTTAACCCCTGTTTTATTCTCTATACGATTGGTCATCGAGATATCATATTTGTGTTCTTGGTTTTGTTTTGTAATTCTATATATAAAATTTGTTGCTTCCGTATTAGATATTCATGTTCCTCTTTATTAAGCTTTTCTTATAGATATATTTGAGTTATTGTTCGTAAATATAGATTGACCTGAGCTTCTTTATTGTTTTCCTTGAACCTAGAGTTCATCCCGCAAACTATAGGTGATTGGTTCGAACTTTTGCAATCATATCTTTAAATGGATCTAACAGGTAATTGCAAATAGATCATTAGTACTTCTTTTTTTTTGTTCAACAAATCATTAGAACCTCTAATTTGCTTAATTAAACTCTCTAATTTTTGTTTTCATCTTCTTAGAAGGATCAACAGCATAAAAAGGAGTTTTTTGTGTATAGTTCATGTTTAAACTTAGGTTTGTATTAATTTTTTCTGGTAACATATAAGTGAAGGGATGTTATTTATTTTGATTGTTGTTTGTTTCTCCTTGGGTTCTACTAAATATTTTCTGAATATTGTTGTTTATGTTTATATTTATTTCTAAATATAATTTTATGGTTTATTTTCGTGGTAGCTTGTGTGGACATATATCTATAAGCAAAAAAAGAGTAACCAGTTCAGATTAATTTTGGTTTCATATTGTACTAAATATATATAAGATGAACAAAACAACGTCTATTGTTTTACATTTTTCCATTTTTTCTGCGCAAAGGCAATTATGTTGTTTCTCGAAAAAATATTTTATAGTTTTGTTTTTTACCCAACACATGATTTTATTAGAAAAAACATTAAATTACTTTCAAGACTAAACCTATCAGGCATTAAAACAATATCTTTGTTGGTAAGTTGATGAACAAGAATGTGATGTCTTATAACTGCAAAGACCAAAGGAAAAACAGGTGACATGAGACTAGATTTGGTGTGACTAGAATCTTCACGCATGTCAAGTTCTTGTGTTGATATACAATAATCCTATTGAGAACAGAATGCAAACCAATTGCAAATGGCACCATCCAGTTGGTGTTGAATTATATTATGGTTAATCTCTGACCCACTTCTTAGTTTCATCATTTTTAATGAACTCATCAATTTTTTTTTACCCCTGATGAGAGATAAAACCAGTTGAAGGAAGGAGAGTCACCAATACAGAGGAAGAAGAATGTTAGCTAGAGAAATATTCGGGTTGTAATTTTCATCATCCTTGTTATTTGTTTCAGGCTTCATTGGAGTATCGAATAAATTGATGATTCTCTGACACCAAAATCTAAGAAACATAGGTGACTGAAATTCTTGTGAATTGAAGAATGAACATACTCACACGTTGCATTTCTCATAAGTTTTGATGTGTAACAAGTAATTCTGTTGCTTTAAAAATTTAGTTTTTGAACAAAATTTATCCTAAAACAGTCCATCCTTTGATTGCTTCTCTAAAACCCAAATCTTACAAGATAAAGCTTATATTGTATCTTTGAAGAAGAGTTGAAGAATGAGATGAAATCGCAAATAGGTTTCTATGTTCAAAAAAACTCAAATTAGATTGTTATGTGTTTATGAAGCTCACTGGTTTACTTGAACACGAGCCAACAGAGATTGAACACTCAGACATTGAATTCGACAATACTAAAACGGGTCTGAACCCCTGACTGAAATGCGTGAGGAAAACACGGAAACTAAAGAAAACAATGGGTGAAACCGAGGAAACGACTAGTTTATGTGGC